CAAGAGAGTAAGAAATGTCATATAAATTATTCATGAGCAATCATATAAAAATATTTCCACAATAGTAATGTGAAAGAAGAAACAGAACTAAAGGGAAAAGCCACGAAGAACAAAAAATAAAAGTGAAAATAGTGTGCTTTGATCTTCATCCAGATTCCATAGTTCTTTCTCTGGATGTTGATAGCATTTTCCATCATGAGTCTTATCTTGGATCATTGTATTGCTGGGAAGAGCTATGTAAATCATAGTGGATAACTGCACTATGTTGCTGTTACCGCGTACAATGTTCTCTTGGTTCTGCTCACTTCATTCAGCATCAGTTCATGTCAGTCTTTCCAGGTTTTTCTGAAATCTGCCTGCTCATCATTTCTTCTAGGACAATAGTATTCTATTACATTCATATCCCACAAATTGTTCAGCCATTCTCCATTTGATAGGCATCCCCAAGTTTCCAATATTATGCTGCCATGAAAGGTGCAGGTGTAAATATCTTTGTACATGTAGGTCTTTTCCTCTTTTCTATGCTATCTTTGGGATACAGACCTAGCAGTCGTTTTAATGAATCAAAGGGTATGTACAGCTTGATTGTCCCTTATGCATAGTCCCAAATTACTCTCCGGAGTGATTGGATCAGTTGACAACTTCAGCAACAATGTATTGGTGCTCCAATGTACCCACATCTTCTCCAGCATTCATCATTTTCCTTTTCTGTCATATTAGCCAATCAGAGAGGTGTGATGTGGTACCTCAGAGGTGTTTTAATTTTCATGTCTCTAATCAATAGTGATTGGGAGCATTTTTTTCATATATCTACAGATAGCTTTAATTTCCTCATCTGAAAACTGCCTGTTCATGTCCTTTCATCATTTATCGATTGGGAATGACTTTTATTCTCAGCAATTTAACTCGGTTCATTATGTGTTTGAGAAATGAGATCTTTGTCAGAAATACTTGCAGTAAAAATTATTTCCCTTCTTTCTGCTTTACTTCTAGTTCTCATTGCATTGATTTTGTTTGTGTAAAATCTTTCTAATTTAATCAAAATTATCCATTTTGCATTTCATAATGTTTTTTGTCTTTTGTTTGATCACACATATTCTCCCTCTCCATAGATCTGTCAGGTAAGCTATTCCACAATCTCCTAATTTGCTTTTATTATCACCCTTTATGTCTAAATCATGTACCTATTTTGATCTTAATTTGGTATATTGCATGAGATGTTGGTCTATGTCTAGTGTCTGCCATATTATTTTCCAATTTGCCCAGCAGTTTTTGTCAAATAGTGAGTTCTTATCCCAGATGCTGGAGAATTTGGATTTATCATACAGAAAGTTATGTAGTCCTTTACTACTGTGTATTGTGTGCCTAACTTATTCCACTGATCCACCACTCTATTTCTTAGCCAGTACCAAAGCATTTTGATGATTGACACTTCATAATATAGTTTTAGGTCTGGTAAAGCTAGACTAATATTCATTGTGAAAACTCTGACTTCCAAATTCTCTCCCTTCTTCACCCCCCACCCCCTTCATTCAGAAGACAAACAATTCAATGTCGGTTATAAATGTGTAGCCATGCAAAACACTTCCATAATAATCATGTTTTGTAAGACTAACTATATGACTCTCCATGCTAACCCCCACCTATTTATTCTATTTTCTCTCCCATTTCATCCTGACCCTCCTCAAAAATGTTTTGCTTCTGACTACCCTCACCCTCAGTCTGCCCTCTCTAATATCACTATCCCTTCTCTCATTTCCTTCTCCTCTACTTACCTGTAGGGTAAGAGAGATTTCTATACACAGTTGAGTGTGTATGTTATTCCCTCTTTGAGCAAATCCTGGTGAGAATAAGATTCACTCACTCCCTCTCACTTCCCGCTTCTTTTGCTTCACTATAACAGCCTTTTGTTGTCTTTTGTATGTGAGATAGGTTACCCCATTCTACCTCTCCATTCTCCTTTCTCCCAGTGCATTCCTAATGTGCCCCTCAATTTTTTTTATCATTCCTTCCTATTCAATTCACACCTGTTCCCTCTTTCTATATGTACTCTTTCTAACTGCCCTAATAATGAGAAAGTTCTTATAAGTTACAAGTATCATCAACAATTTAAGTTTAATAAAGTCCCTTATGCTTTATTTTTCCTATTTACCTTTTTATGCTTCTCTTGAGTCTTGTATTTGAAAGATAAATTTTCTATTTAGTTCTGGTCTTTTCTCAAGAATGCTTGAAATTTTCCTATCTCATTGAATATCCATTTCCCCCCCTAATGAATTATACACAATTTTGCTGAGTAGGTGATTCTTGATTGTAGTCCTAGCTCCTTTGCCCTCTGAAATAGCATATTCTATGTCCTCTGGTATTTTAATGAAGAAGCTGCTAAATATTGTGTTATCCTGATTGTGACTCCATGATACTTGAATTGTTTCTTTCCAGCTGCTAGCAATATTTTCTCCTTGACCTGGGAGCTCTGGAACTTGGCTATAATATTCCTGGAACTTTTTCTTTTGGGATCTTGTTAAGGAGGTCATTGGATGATTCTTTCAATATCTCTTTATCCGCTGGTTATAGAATATCAGGGCAGTTTTCCTTGGTAACTTTTTGAAAGATCAAGTCTAGGCTCCTCTTTTGACCATGCCTTTCCGGTAGTCCAATAATTTTAAAATTATTTCTACTGGAACTATTTTCCAGGTTAGTTGTTTTTCCAATGAGATATTTCACACTGTCTTCTATTTTTTCATTTTTTATTTTGGTTTTGTTTTATGATTTCTTGATTTCTCATAAAGCCATTAGCTTCCATTTGCTCCATTCTGCTTTTTAAGGAATTACTTTCTTCAGTGAGCTTTTGAATCTTTTTTCCATTTGGCCAATTCTGCTTTCTAAGATATTCTTCTTCTCACTGGGTCTTGGGATCTCTTTTACCATTTGGCCTAGTCTGTTTTTTAAGGTGTTATTTTCTTCAGTATTTTTTTGTGTCTCCTTTGCCAAGCTATTGACTGGGTTTTTCATGATTTTCTTGTATTGCTCTCGTTTCTCCTCCTAATTTTTACTCTTCTTCTCTTACTTGATTTTGAAATCCTTTTTGAGCCCTTCCATGGCCTGAGACCAATTCCTATTTTTCTTAGAGGTTTTGGATGGGGGAGCTTTGACTTTGTTGTCTTCTGAGTGTGTGTTTTGATCTTCCTCGTCACCAAAGTAAATTTCTATAATCAGTTTTTTCCCCAACTGTTTGTTCATTTGCTCAACCTATTACTTGACTTTTTAATCCTTTGTTAAGGTAGAGCACTGTTTCCAGGGTGCAGGGTGAACTGTTCCAAGCTTCAGGAGTTTTGTGCAGCTGTTTTCAGAGAGACTTCTCGGTACCTGTAAGTTTTCAGTTCTTCCAAGGTGGTCTGATCTAAGGAGACATGTTTACTCTTCTCCTGGCCTGTGATCTGGTCTGTGAGTGACCACAAGCACTCTTTTCTGCCTTGGAACTGTGAGGAGGGTCCCCCCTCTACTGCTGTTACAAGCTCTGCTCTGCTAGTGCTCCTTCTCACCCTGGGACTGCCATTCAGGACTGCAACCTAGAATGAAGTTTATAAAAGACGATAGAGTCCTGCCTCAGTGCTAGCAAAGGGACCCTTGTAATCTCTTCTGACTTGTTGTTCAACCTCCTTACAATGTGTGGACTGACAACTCTGGAAGCCACTGCTGCAGATTCAGTCACTCCCAAGGCCTACTCCTGATTGGCTGGAGACGGGCCAACCAGTGTTGGATTGCTCTCCTCTCTCATCCTGGTCCAAAGACTTTTCATGCTGATCTTCTATGTTGTCGGCGGCATCTGTGGGCCAAGAAATCTGGAGACTGCCACTGCTGCCAATGATTCAGTGGCCTCTGCTCCGGGTTTGCTGGGGCAAGGTCGGTGATGGCACTGCCTGCACTGGATGATGCTCCTCTCTCTCCCTTATGCAACAGACATTTGCTGTCGACCTTCCAAGTTGTCTTGGGCTGGGAATTTGTTCAATGCATCTTTTTGTGGGTTCTTCTGCTCTAGAATTTGTTTAGAGTAATTTGTAATGGTATTTGGATGGGTTTGGGGGAGAGTGCAAGTGAGTCCCTGACTATACTCTTCCATCTAGGCTCTGCCACAGCGTGTAAAAAATCGTTTTAATTTAATGTAATGAAAATGATCCATTTTCCATTTCATAATTTTCTTTGTGTCTCCTTTGGTCATACATTCTCCCTGTCTCCATAGATCTGATAGGTAAATCATTCTTTGCTCTCCAGAATCTTTTATAGTACCACACTCTTTATATCTAAATCATTTACCTATTTTGCCTTTATATTGGTATATGTATGGTGTAAGATGTTGATCTATGCCTTATTTACAAAAGCCTATTACAGCAGAGTCAAATTTGTCTTCCTCAGTCTAAAATTAACTAAACCACTACTTGATTCCTAACACACCTGCTTCTTGCCTATTCTTTTGAACTCTGGCTATTCCCAGTTAGAAACTGGTCATGTCTGGATTACATTTCAAATTCTTTTAAAATAAGCAGCTTTTTGAATGATGACTCCAACCATTACACTGTTAGCTCCATGAGATCAGGGATTATGTATTTTTGGTTTTGTTTTGATCGCTATCCTTGCTTTCTACCTTTCTGTATATCTAGGTGCTTACCACAGTCTCTGGCATACACTACTAGGTGCTTACTGAACGCTCACTGACTGACTGAGAGCGATCTGAGAGGTGAGCAGATTTGCTCTTAGATTTTTAGCTCCACTCAGTAATATTGGAAAAGAGAAAAAATTAGACCCTATTCCAAGGAATGACTAAAGATTATGGAGGAGGTTGCAGAACTCTGAACATTATATTTCTCTATATCCTTGAAGTAAAATGAACTTTAAAGGAGATCAAAAATATTTGTTATATGCATGGATCTTATCCAACCTTGAGCAAAGTGCACTTTGGGGACATAGGACTAAACCACTAAGTCCAAGTCAGTGCTGTACATCTGTAGAATAATCTGGAATCAGCAAAGCACTAAGTACCTGGGGACCATACTTCTGTCCCTATATCTAGAGCACAATACACTGAAAGTTGAATGACTAACACCATCAAGAGAAGCAGGAGTCAACGTTTAATTAATAGTGTATTTCTTGGTACTGTAAAGAAACAATGGAGGGATCAAGAGGTACTTACTGTCCCAACATCCATGTCCCTGTGAGGACTTCAAGGGTGCCTCCTGAATGCACATCTTCCTTTTTATGCACTGAAAGAAGAAATGAAGAGGCTTAGAGGAGATGAACTGTGCCTGATTTGGTTCATTGGCTAATTGCAATGGCAATGACAAAGTCACATATCACAGTAACTTTAAAAAGAAAATACAACAAAATTTTTAGAGAGACTCTGGGCAGCATAAAGTAGAGAGGGAAAAGAATAGGTGAAGTTTTGATATCTCTCTCTCTCTCTCTCTCTGTTCTTCCCTCTCTCTCTATCTCTAGTTGTGGCAGTGTCTGCCTGTCTCTTTCTCTATCTCTCCATCTCTTTCTTTCTCTCTCTGTCTCTATCAGAGAGAATGGTGCACAGATCAGCAAAGGTGAGCAAATAGTAGTGAGAAGAGTGATGAAGAATCAAACTAATAGAAAAGATGAAACAGCTCTAAAAACTTTTAGGACATATGACGTCAGCTGACAGCGAGTACATATTCAAACATGGGCATTGGTTCAGTGAGAAGAAAAATGAAATACCTTGGGGGTGGGGAGAGTGAATGACCTCTTCATTGGTCACCTGGAGGGCCACCCTGTTGGCCTCCTTGCTGTCCACCTTGCCAACCTTCTTGTTGTCCACGTTGCCGACCTCCTTGCTGTCCACCTTGCCGACCTCCTTGCTGTCCACCTGGAGGTCCACGTTTCTGGTTACCACCTTGTTGCTGGGCAGGGTTCTGATCGTCTTCCTGGGAGTCAAATGGTGCTGGTGAATCTACTGGTCCTTCTGAATTTTGTTCATCCTCTAAGGGGAGACAGTACAGGTATGAAAAAGACAGATGAAGGAAAAGGCCTGATATGCCATGAACACAGACAGAATGCTTTGAGTCACAGGCTAATTGTCCAAAGGATGGAGTCTTTGCTACCTTCTTAGTACAATTGAATGAGAGTGACCCAGATTTAATTGGTAGATATCTAATAAGGATCTAAAAGATCCAGGCTTGTCCCAGGCTCAGAGTAAGCTTGGATGGATTTATGTAATGGATGATCCTATAAATGATTGGCAAGGAACAGGCCTCGCATCAACCCATATAGTGACAGCAGCAGAAAGCAATGGCAGCTTGCTATATCAAAAGCATGAATTATCCCTCTATATGTGTCTTGGTCATTCATATGTGTCCCTTCATTTGTGAATGCCCACATGTTCTCTTTATATTCAGAGCTCCTACATATTTCTTATGAAGTTCCACTCTTCTACTTAGTTTAAATGAAGACATTCAATCTTCATGTGACTAAGAAAGAATTTACTTTACATCATATATTTTTTGCCTTAGTTACGAACTCTGTCCATCAGTCAATATTTATTAAGTATCTAAAATGTTCCAGGTCCTATGACTTTTTGGTACAAAGTAAAATGCCTCAATGGGGTATAAAGAAGGCTCTATCCCATGAAATTCTTAGAGCTTGGGGTGAATAAATGCTTTTTTAGAATGAGAGGGGTCTTATTGGCTGTGGTAAGGAAGAATCAAGTGGGAGAAGGAGGGAATAAAGAAAAGAGAAGGAAGGAAAGGTTGGATTTGAATATTGGTACCTGCATCCTAAAGATTTCTTATGGTCATGAATTAAACTATTAGCGACCTCTTACATTCTAGTCATTTAAGAGGGTAAGAATGGGTAAAGAAAGTTTCGTAGACTTATTTGGAGACAGGGGAAAAGATTGCTAATTTGTTTTTTCTAAAAAGTGGGGAAGAATTTCTCATGAATTGCCTCATCCTGTTACACAGAAAACGTCCGCAACAGCTGATTCTCTGAGTGACTGATTCATTAAGTGGCTCAAGCACAACCCTCCCCAATTTATGATATGAAAGCTCTTGGAAGGTTCTACCTTATGATGCATAAAGAGACAATTTCAATGGAAAAGTCCAAGTGAAGTTTGGCTGCATGTTAGGATGTTTTTCACCTGACAGTCTTACTTGCATTCTGTACAGAGTCTTGTTTGTGAGGGGAAATACAAAATAACAATGAGTGATGAACTTTTCTACATCTTCACTTTAGTCCACAAGTTTTTCTTTTGTTTTTGCTCACCCTGGTCCAGTATGAGAGGCTTTCTTGGGTCTTATAACTCCAGCTCCAAAGGGAAGGAAATAATCTCCTTTTCCACATTTTTAGGATTTCAAGAGAGCTACATATCCTGATGCTAAAAGACATTTTGCCTATCAGAATATTTGTTTTTCACATAAGATTTGAAACCATAGAATTTAGAATTGGAGGATACCTTAAAGATCCTCTAATGGAGCACTTTCACTTTCTAATTGGAAAACTGGAGGGATTCAAAGAACATTGTCAAGTCAACAAGCTTTATTAAGCTGTGAGCCATGTGCCAGGTACTGTGAGTTAGCCAAGGTCATACTGGCAAAGACAGAATTTTAACCGAGGTCTTTTGACTCCAAATACTTTTCTTTTAACCCAGTATGTTGCCTTTCCCTAGAAAACTAGACATAAAGTCAAGGAATTGGAGTTCATGTCATAGCTTTTGAACTCCCAGCCAGCTATGCTGGGGGAAAGTCATTTAATCTCTCTGACCCTGAGTTTCTTCATTTGTAAAATGGTGATGAGAATCTCTCTGAGATCCAGAAGGGCACAGTAGATTGAAAACCGCTTTCAGAGTCAAAAATCCTGGGTTCAAATTCTACCTCTGACACCATTTGGCCATATGATATAGGCAAATTGCTTACCACCTCACTACTCCAAGAAACTCTCTACGATATTTACTTGTTGAGCAGAGGCAGATTAATTGACATTGGGAGAAGGAGTTCCAGATTTATTCCCTATGAAGTATGATTCCATATCTTGATTACAGTATATCTGAGAGGTACAACACGAAAGCAACTTAGGAGTCCTGAGATCCCATATGTTGGACATTATTATGTTGCTCTACTTAGGCTGATTCTGTAAGTTGCAAATACTTCTGATAAAAAAAGAAGAAGAAGAAGAAAATTTCATTCCAACACCCCAATTTTATTGGGCAGGATGCCAAATACTGTCATATCTGGAAATGTTTAGATGAGTTTAGGTATGATGATCTCTTTTCCATCAAAAAAATTCTTTTTATGTCAGCTCTGTTTTGAATGTCAGTTCCATGAAGGTAGAAACTGTTTCATTCTAATTCTGCTTCATGGATTTCATTTTGAATCTCCAGCAAACACTGCTTGTTGAGTGATTGATTATTGATATTACGAAGATGCAGTTTTCTCTTGACCTGGGATAAAAGGCCTAATGGCTAAGGAGGAATTCATAACCCTTTAGAAGATAGATTAGTCTCTGCCTGACCAGTCTCATCTCAGAGAGATCATCTGTACCTTAGAAGAAGTGAATAAACACATTGACTAGAATGAAGAACTCGCTGCAGTAAAGGGAAGAATTGAACTGAATGTCTATACATTGTCAAAATCTAAAAGGACAATGATAAATTCAATCATCTATATGTTATTCAATGTACAGATTTTTTTCAGTCCCAGGAATTGAAACATTTCATCAGAGGTCGAAAAATTTTACTTGTCTTATCAATACTTTGTGCCAGATAATTCATTAAGATTATATTAAATGCTTATTACGTACCATGCACTTTGTTAAGTGCTGAGTGTATAAAGAAAGAGCCAACAGTCTCTGAGGTTGAGGAATTTAAATCCTATTGGGAAATACAGATGCATATAGAAAATAAAATGCAAAACATTGAAAAAATAATAATTTCTTAGGTGAAGGCAGTAAGGTAGGAACTCAAGGTAGATTTCCTACAGGAGATAACAGAAACAAAACTTTAACAGAAGCTAGGAATTCTAAGAGGTAGAGATCACTAGAAAATGTATTGCAGGTGGAAGAGCAGGATAAAAGTATGGAATGCTGTGCATGAGAAACAGCAAGGAGCATAGATGACCAAAGCAAAGAAGAAATAGAGTTTAAAGAATAATTAGAGTTTGGCTTCAAGTCTAGGGCAGAAAAGAGATTTGAGGAGTCATCAGAACATGGAAAACAAGAATATCACCTCCTATTTATCTAACTCTAGGAAGACAAAAGTACCCAAGTTACTGAGGAAGGCTAACACAAATGACCTCACACAAATCATGCCTGGACTCACCACCAAAACCCTGTTAACATAATCATAGATTCTCTGTGTGCCCCACTTACCTTCATCTGTGAATTGAGCTGAGCTCAGGCCCAACAGGGCTACTGAAGAAAGGAGAAGTATCCACTTGGTAGCAGCCATGGTGTCAATGTTACCTGTGCTACATGGACTGAGGGCAACGGCTCTTATAAGGACCTCAGAGAACAATGTCCCTTTTAAACATTACATTCTGTCCCCTTTCTGAAGGCATTGTTCATGTCCAGATCACTCCCATCCCTAAGTTTTGTTTGGATTGAGTCTGAGGGCTGGCAAAACTCCTGCCCAAAAAGTCATCACCAAATCTAAGTTAGCCAAAGCCTTTGAAGTCACATTGCTGGAAACCCCACATAGAATGCTGTGATGACAGTAAAGCATAGTCTTCTATCTTGTGATTTTCTTCCCATAAAAAAACCTGGACTCCTTGAATGTATTTTGATATCCTGTGTTGCAAAAGTCATTTAAATGTCATCACTAACCTTCTTCCAGTGCTGGAAATGATCCAGTGAGGTCAATATACAATGGATGGATAAAATAACAGAAATGAAATCACTGGATACCGTAACTGTACAGGCAAGATCCTGCCCCATTCCTTCCAATTAGAAGCTACGTAAACGTCAGCAACCATAGTCTTTGGTTACCTGATGTATGGCTTAATGGGACCAATATTTTAACTGATATGTCCCAAAGCTTAACTGAATTGAGCTTCTGATAAATATTTGGTGTTCAGAACTGATTCTTCCCCAAAACTAATTTGTCCCTCCATCCTTCTTCCAAATATTCTGTTCAACAAATCCCTCTTTTCATGAAATGCTACTCCAGGTGAAGAGGCTTTCCCTCTCTTATTTCCTTTTGATATCCCATCCACAATTCACTCAGCTTGTTTCCTTCCCAGATTCATAGATTCATAGGAACTAGCTCAAAGACTTAGAACGGGAAGGGATTTTGGAGGCCATATAGTCCAACCTCCTTATTAACCAGGCAAAGAGCATGAAGTCAAGTAGGTGAAGTGACTGGTCCGTGAACAGTAAGTAGGTAGCAAAGCCAGGTGCAAACCTTTACCTATAAGTTTTCCCATTGAGGGAAAATTGATTCATCATGTATTATTTAGGACTGAGATTAGTCATTATAATTGAACATTATTGGGATCTTTATTCACATTGCTATAGTCATTGTGCATATTGTTCTCCTACTTCAGCTTATTTCACTCTATATGAGCTCACAAAATTGTTGACGTTTCTCTTAATTTATCATATTCTTCATCCCTAATAATTAAATAAATAGTTTATCACATTCATATGATCATAATTTGTTCAGCTATCCTCTAGTATTTGAGCATTTTCATTTCAAGTTTTGTTTTTTACAATTAAAAATAAATTATAAATAACCTCTTATATAAAAGACTCTTCCTTCTGACTTTGACCTCCTTGACCTATATGCAAAGTAATGAGATTGAGAGAAAGGATTTAAATGAATTACTAACTAGTCTTCTTCATTCCTAATTTGTTTTTTAAAAAATTGTGGACCTATCAACAGCTTGACTGAAACTGTCGAAATGTCTCTGTCTTCCCATTGCTATTGTTCTTCAGTCTTTCCAGACACGTCTGAATCTTCATGATCCCATTTGGGGTTTTCTTGGTAAAGATTCTTGAGTCATTTGCCATTTCCTTCTCCAGCTCATTTGACAGATGAGGAACTGAAGCAAACAGAGTTGAATGACTTGGCCAGCATGACTTGCCCTGACTCGTGTCTGAAGCCAGGTTCAAACTCATGAAGATGAGTCTTTCTGACTTCAGGCCCAGCTCTCTATCCACTACACCACATTGCTGCCTATTATCCCTCAAAAGCAAACTGTATACATCTTTAAATAACTACTGGTTTGAGAGTTATAACACTAAAACCTTCAGAGTTGTTTTCATTTCATTCATCTTATAATAAAGCTTTGGAATAATCTTTAAAATGGCTGTAGACGCCTTGAAATTCTTTTGAGAAAATGTTCAATTTCACGTTATGGGAGACTTGGCTGTTGGTTATTTTTACTGAATTAATGTTTTTCTCTTTTCTCTTTTTGATTCTCTATTAAAAGGGATGGCCTACTCAGCAAGGGAAGAGTGAGATTCATTTGGAAATTACATTGCTGCACAAACAAAAGACATAAATATATATTTTTAAAAAGAAAACATTTTATAGTCTCCTCAGTCACTTAATAATTGGATAATATTTTTGTCATATATAACATGGATATCAGATTATCAGAGGTATTAATTGTAAATGTTTTCCTACCCTACTTCTTGTCTCCTTATTCTTGTTGCAGTGACTTTATTCATCTAAAATGTTTTATATTTTTTATACTAAAAATTTCACCTTAGTCACAATTGGAAAGTATACTTCTTTTTGTTTTTTCTTCCTTCCTTTCTTCCCTTCTTCCTTCCTTCCTGCATTCCTACATTCTTACCTGCATTCCTTCCTTCCATCCTGCCTTTGTTTTTTCATTCCTTTTTTCCGTAACTTTTTTGTATTAAGACTGCATACTTATTTGGTCCCTATTGTCACATGTAGTGTTACATGTGCATTTAAAACTAATTTCTGCCTCACTACCTGCCATTTTATGCAGCAATTCTGGTGAATGAATGTACAAAACTTCCCTTTGTGTTTATGTTCTTAGGCATGTTGGATAATGCACTGCTCTTTTCATTTGGTTTTCTATCTGACTTATTTAGTTCACTTATCATTTTTTAACCAACACCAGGGAGTCCTGATGATGATTACTTCATAACATAGGTTGAAATCTTATGTTAGATTCACTTAATTCCTGCTTTCTATTTCCTTGTCATTCAATATCTTTTGTTTCTCTGTATAAATGTTGAATTATTTTGACTATTTATAACAAGTAACAGCTTAGAAGTTTGATTTTTGTGTAATTAAATGCAGAAATTAATTTAAATGGTGAAGTCATTTTTAGCAAATTGGCATGTCCTGATATGGAATAATGTGCATGTCTCTAATTATTTTTCTTCATTTTTGTGCGTAAACAATATTTCTAGTAGTAGCTACATGTGTATTGTTAGCTTAACTTCACAATATCACATGTGTTTTATAGATATATTGCATGGATGTTGATTGTCCTTAAATTCCTCTTATTTTTTATTACTCTAAAAGAATGAACATATTTATATCCTTTTTTAAAAAGTTAATTAATTTATTTTGATTTATCAATAATCACTTCCATATGTTTTTGTGTTTAAAATTTTTCTCCCCCTTCCTCACCACCATCCTCTCCAAGATGGCACACAATCTAATATAGGCTATGTACACATTCCTATTAAACATATTTTCTCATTAGTGGTGTTATAAGTAAAAACTAAACCAAAAGTAGGAATCATCAGGAAGAGGAAACAAAAATCAGCAGAAGAGAAAAAAATAACAATTCAACTTCCATAGTTCTTTCTTTGGATGTGGGTAACATTTTCCATCAGGAGGCCTCTAGAGATGTCTTACATCCTCATACTGCTAGGAAGGGTTAAGTTTATCAATATTAGTCATTGCACAGAGTGGCTGCTATTGCGCAAAATGTTCTCTTGGTTCTGCTCACTACACTCAGCATGAGACCATGCAAGTCTTTCCAGGTTTTTCTGAAGTCAGCCTGTTCATTATTTCTTATAGCACAATAGAATTCCATTACATTCATATACTACAACTTGCTCAACCATTCCCCAGTTGATGGGCATCCTCTCAATTTCCAATTCTTTGCCACCACAAAAACAGCTGCTATGAATATTTTTGCACATGTAGGTCCTTTTCCCATTTGTTATGATCTCTTTTGGATATAGCCCTAGAAGTGCTATTGCTGGGTCAAAGAGTATGCACATTTTTATAGCCCTTTGGGCATAGTTCCACATTATTCTCCAAAATGGTAGAATCATTTCACAACTCCACCAACAATGCGTAAGTGGTACCTCAGAGTTGCTTTGATTTGCCTATCTCTAATTTATACTGATTTAGAGCACTTTTTCATATGAATTTAGATGGCTTTAATTTCTTCATCTGAGAACTGTCTGTTCATACCCTTGGACCATTTATCAATTGGGAACGGCTTGTATTCTTATAAATTTGACTTAATTCTGTCTATATGTTAGAAATGAGACCCTTCTGAGAGAGACTGATTTTAAAAATTCTTTTCCAATTTTCTACCTTCCTTCCGATTTCAGTTGGATTGGTTTTGTTTGTGCAAAAACTTTTCAGTTTAATGTAATCAAAATTATCCATTTTGCTTTTCATAATCTTCTCTGTCTTCTGTTTGGTCATGAATTCTTCTGTTCTCCATAGATCTGATAGGTAAACTATTCCTTGCTCTCCCAGTTTGCTTATAGTATCAGCATTTATATCTAAATCATGAACCCATTTTGACTTTATTCTGGTATATGGTGTGAGATTTGGGTCTATGCCTAGTTTCTGCCATACTCTTTTCCAGTTTTCCCAGCAGTTTTTTTTTTTTCAGAGTGGGTTCTTATCCAGAAGCTGGGATCTTTGGGTTTATCAAATAACAGATTACTATAGTCATTCACTACTGTGTCTTGCATATTTAATCTATTCCGCTGATCCACCACTCTATTTCTTAACCAAGCAGTTTTGATGATTGCTGCTTTATAATACAATTTAAGATCTGGAATGGCTAGGCCACCTTCCCCCGCATTTCTTTTCATTAGTTCCTTTGATATTCACGACCTTCTGTTCTTCCGAATGACTCTTGTTATTATTTTTTCTAACTCTGTAAAATAATTTTTTGGTGGTTTGATTGGTATGGCACTGAACAAGTAAATTAGCTTAGGTAGCATTGTCACTTTTATTACATTAGCTCGGCCTACCCATAAACAACTGATTTTTTCTAATTATTTAGATCTGACTTTATTTCTGTGAAAGGTGTTTTGTAATTGTGTTCATAGAGTTCCTGGGTTTGCTTCAGGAGGTAGACTCCCAAATATTTTATACTGTCTACAGTAACTTTAAATGGAATTTCTCTTTCCATCTCTTGCTGTTGGACTTTCTTGTATATAGCAATGCCGATGATCTATGTGGGTTTATTTTACTTATGTGGGTTTATTTACTTTGCTGAAGTTGTTTATTATTTCAAGTAGTTTTTTACTTGGTTCTGTAGGATTCCCTAAGTATATCATCATGTCATCTGCAAAGAGTGATAGCTTTGTTTCTTCTTTGCCTATTCTAATACCTTCAACTTCTTTTTCTACTCTTATTGCTAAAGCTAACGTTTCCAGTACAATATTGAATAACTGTGGTGATAATGAACATCCTTGTTCCACCCCCAATCTTATTGGAAATGCTTCTACTTTGTCCCCATTGCATATTAGGCTTGCTGAAGGTCTTAGATAGATGCTGCTTATTATTTGAAGAAAGTATGCTTTCTAGTGTTTTTAATAGGAATGGCTGTTGTATTTTGTGAAAAGCTTTTTCTGTAGCTATTCAGATGATCATGTGGTTTCTCTTGGTTATCGTGTTGATATGCTAAATTATGCTGATGGTTTTCC